TTTTCATTGTTGCAATGGCATGACAAATCCTCTCAGATTATCGTAAGTGAGGGCGCCCATTTTCATGTTATGAATCATACATTCGAGCTGAGGTTGATTGAAGAGCAAGCACTGTTACTGAGTGTTAAGTAAAAAAGTTGACAAATTGCGTCATTTTTTGAAGGTGATCGCGACAAATCAAGGATAATTAAAGTACATTTTGTGAGCAGATTATCTAGTGTTAAAAAGTTCATTTGTTTCGTACCGAACCGAGTTTTGCTAATTCAAACAGGTCTATATCAACATATATGTCTCGTTATCGAATTTCTGGCAACGTTAGTTGAAAACAAAAAATTGTGTCTCTATTGTTTTAAACTATGATATGACAAATCTCATATACCATCCTAAGCTTGTAAAAGCCTTTTGTGGTTAAGAAACTCAACACGTATGTTTTCAGCCTCGAGTCCGATTTTTATTTGGACTAAAGCTGTGTGATTTCAGCCTCGAGTCTAATTCTAACTTGGACTAAAGCTGTTTAAACACAGCTGTGTACGTCATGAATACTACATTCGGTCTAAAATATAATTGTACGTTTTTCCCTGCTAGATCATTGTGCTGAAGTGAATCCTGTGAGTCATCCTTGTGCTGAACTGCAATGAAACGTTTTTCCCAAATTCTGTGCGTAGCCTTTTTGGTGGCGCAGGTAAGAGGCCAAAATTGCGTTGAGGAGACGTTAAACTGCGATGACCCCGTTCCGACCATCTTTAAGTTGGGTGATCAATCGTGTGCTTGCAATAGCGCAGGTCATGCCGGAGCACTGAAATTCTTAAACGGCAAGGTACAAGTTTGCTTGGGAAACGAGTGGAAGACCTTTCAGTTTGTAGAGGACATCGAATACGGCACCGAGAAGAATCCTGGTTCATCCTGTAAAGATATCAAGGATAAAGCTGTTGGAAAACAGCTTAGCAATGGAGTCTTCTGGATCAAACTGCAAGGTATAGTCAAGATTTCAGATTTATTGTCCTTTCAGCCTCGATTACAGGTCCCTACTGTCTCTTTTAAAGGTTAAGGGCATTGAAATCTAGGGAATCTTAAAATAAAATAATACACTGATCAGTGTGATTTGTTCCTAGGTTCATGCCTCATACCGCGTAAGGCTAACTCTCGAGCCTTCATTTGAGAGTTTCATGGGTATTTGAATAAATAGTACCTGTCTTACTGACTCTCTCATTTCGGTATCCTTTATTGCATAAGCACAAATCCAAAATTGGCTTTTCAGATTTGTAAAGGCCATGCGTTTAGTATCGTTTAGTATCGGAGCAGTTGCTAACTCACTCTTTATTGCTGCGTACTATACACCTTGGCGAGATTGACTCAGCAATTATTCAAGTTTTACTCTGAGGTTGTTTTTTATGTTATTTAAGTTTTCGAGACTGCACTCTTTTCATTATTAAGCATTTTAAGTTCATAAGTCGTGCAAAAAGTTTACTGCTTGACACATTTTTAGCGAGATACCTAAGATACGTAACACTCCAAAAGCATAATTATCATTCATTATCAGCGACTGAATCAACTTAGCTACATTGTTAGAGAGTAATCAAACAATTTTTTATCTGTTGTAATGAATGCATGAGCTCTAACGAATTCTCTAGCGCATTCTCTAGCGACCTATTTTTCACATCCTTGGCATAATTTTTTTCCAATAGGCGTTTCGGGTGCTTTTCCAGTTTATTGCGACATGGACGCAGGAGGTAAGCGTATTCTTGTGGCACCGAATAAGTTCTATGTAAAATAATCGGTGATGAAAAGTGAAGAAAACAATCGTAGAATCTTAAGGTTTTGTCAAATATCAGTGGGTTTCGTCGAAAATTTCTCAACGTAGCGTTCACAAACAGCTATTACTTTGTTTATCGCATAGAACTGAATTGGCGAAAAAATTATTTTTCGCGTCATGCAGCTCTTTCAAAAAAAAACCAAAACAAAACAAATATTCATATTAGCGTGCCGCTAATATCAATATTTGTTTTTATTTTTATTTTTTTTTATTTTTAATTAGGAACTCTGGAAAGTCTGGCTTGCCCAACGGACTTCCGCTTTAGTCTGTTCCTTAGATCATGATACTTTTATAGACGGAGATAAAAATCATATGATTTCTGGAGGCTCAAGGTTCAGATTCAGTATTCCAAACTTCGGGCAACCGGCCATATTTTTCATGTTATTCATTACTAGGTTGGACCTTGGTATTCAAGGCAGTGAGTGGTGTTGATAAGAAGATCTGGGACACGTATAACTCGGCCCAGACCTCTTCCGAGTCAGTTGATGCTGCCCTTGATGTCACAAACCAGTTCAAAGATCACTACAAGAATAGAGTGGTGTTATACTGGAGTAGCTTCAATCCATCTCAGGTTATGAAAGTCAAAATTTTGCTTCAGGCTTAAACTTTGTAACAGGCTTAAATAGGATTCAAAACCATTGAGCCAATCTGCAGTACCCAAACATCCCCCTGACCTCGCCCAATAATCCTTCACGCATCAATGAAAGCTTTATTTTGACATTCACTTGGAAAAGAGCTCGCCTTTCGGAATAGAAGATGTCTGCGTAAAAATATCTGAGCATACAATTGGAGGCTTTGGTGTATTTCTATAAAACTTCAAAATTAACATCCACGACACTCGAAGGCGCAATGCTATTCATACCTCCAAAACTTTATCACGAACATGTTTAGCCCCACTTTTCGCTAAAACTTTTATTTATTTTGACATTTCAATTAATCAAGTACTCTTAA